AGATTGAGAGCTGGGGTTTTCTGTCAGCTCACGCTGTGCTGTGCTTAGTCGCTCGGTCGTGTCCGACTCTTTGCAACTCCACGGACAGCAGCCCCTCAGGCTCCTCTGTCCATGGGATTCTCAGGCAAGAATACTGGAGCGGGTTGCCATGCCCTCCTCCAGGGATCTTCCCAACCCAGGGACTGAACCCAGGTCTTCTGTATTGCAGGCGGATTCGTTACCAACTGAACCACCAGGGAAGCCCAAGTCAGCTAGATCTGGGTTTAAATCCTACCTTTTCATTTATCGGGATGTGACCTTGGGCGTAGCTTGTAACTCTCTGATGCCTGAGCAATAAAATAGAGAATAATATCAGTGCGATGAGAATTAAATAAGATAATGTAAAAAGCAATGAGGACAGTGCCTGCTCTGGAAAAAGAGCTCACTAAATGGTAGCTATTATTTAATAAAATAAATGCTTTGGCCTGAAGACTCACATTGAACGAGGAATTAGCACAGACACTCTGCTCAGCCAGTTATTGACTTTGTTCCCTTTTCCGTGACATCATCTTTTCTTGCTAATACTGGCAGCCTGACTTTCAGCTGGGTGTACCCACCTCTGGTGTCTCGTTAAGGCCAGGAGATAGTCCAAACCAGCTGCAATTTCACTCTTTTATGAGTGTGAAGGAAATGGGGCCACCTGTAAGTTGGACCAAGCAAAGATCAATGAGACAAAATAAAGAGTTGTAGCTTTCAGAGGGAAAGATGATAAAATAAGAAAAGGCTGGGGCAGTGGGATGTGGTATTGAGTTGCTGGCACCAGGAAGTGGGGAAGAAAACCTCCAAACACACTGTGGTTTGTGAGAACACCGAGACTCCCAAGTACCACAGTGCTTGGCAGCCCCATCTCACCAGGCAGAAGTGTCCTCGGCAGCAGGGGAGGTTATGAGAGATGGGAGGAAGTGGGCCTAATGGTTACTCCAGGAGACAGAGAGTCTGCTGGCCTGGCTCACCGGGTGACCTTGGGTGACTGACTTGCCCTAGAACCCTTACTTGAACAATTTCTCCAAAGTTCACACAGCCCCCAGCTAACTAAAGAGGTTTAATGGGGACAAATTTGTTTTAAAAAAAAATTATTTTAGAGCAGGGCTCATAAACAGCAGCTCCTCCAGACACCCTTGCTGGTAGGTTTTTAAAAATTGAATTTTAATACTTTTAGGTAGGACTTGTACTTTCTAATTCATCCAGTATCTACTACCTTGAGTTTTCACATTTTGCCTCTTGGTTTTAATGTATCCTTGGCTCCTGGTATTACAAACTGGATGAGAACTGCTTCATTTATAACTTAATTCTATCTCTTTGTCAGTTGTATCAAATGTGTACTTCTAAGATTTCCCAAAGATGATTTTGCTGGCCTAACTGTAATTTGCTCTATGAAAACATTTCCCCCCTAGGAAATATAGTAAAGATTAAAGTTTGACCACCCCCTTGGGCTGATCCAAATTGTAAAGCTTTAACATTATTTGAAAACATCATTCAGGACCAAGCATTCTTTACTTTATAATCTACTTTGCTCAAAAAATTTAATGTAGGCATGGATCATTTCACTTTGAGGAGAAAACGTCTCTTTAAATAACTATGATTTTCAATCTGTCCTTCTGCAACTCCCAGAGACCTCCTAAGTCACTCCAGAGAAGTCAGGGTGAAGGAGCATCCCATCTCTCATAACCAAAACACCATCATCTGCTTCATGATCATGGTTAAGAGTGCAGATCACCATGAATATTTACACCTAGCAGGGTCCTTTGTGCAAAACTCTTTGAGAGACAAATGGTATTTCCAGGAATAGTTTATTGATTTCCAAATGCACAGGGGCGCCGAGTCCAAACATCCTGGGATAGCGGTAAATCTCTCTTACAAAATAATTTACAGCATGAAAATGATATACTGCAACATTAACTCAAACGTATAATTCCCTTAAAAGATTGAGTGTTCCCTTGTTTAATGTAAAGGGTGAAAGGGGAAGATGACTGAGGAGGGAATGTGACGGTGTGCAGGAAAACAGGCAGAGGACAATGGATTTGTTGGTTCTCCCCATCCATGTAGTGTATGAGAGACTGGTCACTGATACTCCCATGAAGTATAAAATATACTGTCCCCTCAAGGTCATATCAAGCCCAGCACGATATGACCTGGCCCTGTGGCATTTTTGTACCACTATACCCACAAGTGTTTCAATTAATTTATTTTTATTTTCCTGCTCTGGCACCTGTTCTGCTGTTTCTGGTGTGTTCTTGGGCCTTACAGCTCTTGGAATGAGCTGGAGTGGGACTTCCAACACACTGTTGGGTAAGGCAGTATTAATGAGATCTGAAGTCTCCTCTATAGGCCTTTTTTTTCTCTTAGGGCTAGGCTGAGTCCACTCATAATGAGATCGATTTGTTTTTTAAACAGAAGATTTTAGATGTGCTATGCACACAGTAAACATGCAACTGATTTTCTTATAGAAAAGCATGTGTCGAACAGCTACTATGTGAGTGTGCCAATTTCAGGTATGGGCAAGAGAATATTGTCTAAGTGGAGGAAAGAGCTTCCTAAGCCCTACCACTCTTACCAGTTATGAATTCTTCAGCCATGCCCTCAGGCCTGACTGGAGCGGTCACTCTCAGGTCACCGAAATGACTGGGTATCCAAATTTCCCGTATCATTAGACATCCTGGAACAGGGCTGGAGTGCAAATTCCTTCAGGAGTCACCTTGGCTCAGCTTTAGGAGCTGACCTTTGCCAACGCACTGCTCTTCCTATAAGCATCTCTTGAGCAAGCACCAAAGCTCCAATTACCTGGTGACACTTGTGACCAGAGCTGGCAGAAACCTCTGCCGTGGTATGTAGGATAAGGAGGGGACTGCTCAGCAGTTCCCTTGCTTGTTAAACTGAGTGTGTGTGTATGTGTACATATACACACCAGGTATTTGCAGGAACGTCTATATTCACTGGACTTTGAATTGTCACATGCTCACAGGGCACAGACTAGCTAGGTTTACTAGAACATGAAGATTTCCTTTGCAGCAGCAGGCATGTTCAAGTAGAGGGCAGAACACTGCTCACTTTCACTATTTCTGAGAAGTTCCACACTCCTAAAGGCCTAGAAATGCTTTACTTATGGGCTGCGTGCATGCTCAGTAGTGTCTGACTCTCTGAGCCTGGACTGTAGCCCGCCAGACTCCTCTGTCCATGGGATTCTCCAGGCAGGAATACTAGAGTGGGTTGCCATTTCCTTCTCCAGATCTTTTCCACCCAGGGATCGAAGCTGCGTCTCTTGTATCTACTACACTGGCAGGCAGGTGCTTTATCAGTTGAGCCGTTGGGGAAGCCCAGTAACTGGCCTAGATGGCGTCAACTCCCCCTTCTTTATGAGAGATGGCACCAAAAAGGAAAGGCCTCCTCCCATACCTGGGTGCAGGCTCAAGTTAGCAACATGTACTTAATGTATCTGCTAAACTGGAAGAATAAGGCTACCCTGATGCCATTTCTGGGCCCAAACTACTGCCACGAAATGTCACTGTGAAAAAGAATCCTTAGAGTGGAATGGTCAGACTGTAGCAGGGGAACCCACAGCCTTTTCTGTGTTTTAGGGATACATAAGAGTTAGGAAGGGAGAAGGAAATGGCAGCCCACTCCAGTACTGTTGCCTGGAGAAGCCTGTGGACAGAGGAGCCTGGAGGGCTGCTGTCCATAGGGTCGCACAGAATCAGACACAACTGAAGCAACTTAGCATGCATGCATGCATTGGAGAAGGAAATGGCAACCCACTCCGGTATTCTTGCCTGGAGAATCCCAGGGGCAGAGGAGCCTGGTGGGCTGCCTTCTATGGGGTCGCACAGAATCGGACACGGCTGAGGCGACTTAGCAGCAGCAGCAGAGTTAGGAAGAGCTGGGTACAAAAATCTGGCTCCCATACTTCCTAGTTGTGTAACTCAAGACAAGTTAACTCTTACCTACAAATCTGTATTACCATCTGGGAAATGGGGCCTTGGTGCAGGGTCCTCAGTATTTCAACTCATTTCCCTTTTTGGGCTGTCAAAGCAGAGACTCCAGGCACTTCTTGGAATTGCCCTGGATTTAATGACACCAAATCAAAGTTCAAACCTCCTCTTAGCCTCGGATACCCAACCTTTGGAAGGCATCCAGGGATTGTTGTGAGGACCCAATTCATTCTGAAGACAGTCATTACCTGTCTCCCTTGCTGACTGCAAGGGATGTCGGCAAACCCTGCAGCCAGGCAGGACACAATTTGGAGCAACTCTACTGACCTGGTAGGAACGAGGCCTCCTCGTGCTGGGGCTTAAGGCCAAGCAGCCTGCCCCAGCTTTGGGGAAGCTGGTGCCGCTGCAGGAAGCATTCTAGCTCTTGTGTTGATAGATGCTGCCGGCAGGAACTCAGGAGCCTGGGCAGAAGCTGCTGTGCCGTGTTTAATGCTTCCCTGGTTAAAGTTTTATCAGGTACTGAAGACAGCGGGAGCCCATAAAGCAGATCTGAAATCCTTTCTAGGTAAAAGCCAAAGTGCTTTCCTCGAGGATTATAGAGATATGATAATTTATTGAGAGGGCTGGTATGTATTTTTATATTTCCATTCATATCCATTGCATAAATGCCTGGGTTTCCCAAATACTGATTTAAAGTAATAAACTATGATCAGTTATGGAGGAGCCAATAAGCTGTCCATTGCTAAGATGAGGCTACCACTTGGAGATTAAACAATGATTACTGGGGAAAGACAACACAAGCTTCCACATCCTAGAGTCTTCTTAATCTTCTGATTTTTTAAACTCTCTTTGAGAATGGCCACTGGTCTTCCTTTAAAGGTAGTTGCATTGGATGTGGTTGGGGGATGTAATTAGTGGTATGCCAAAATCTCCAGGTTTTTGTGTAGAAAGGTAAAGCACCGAAAATGTCTCAACCATTTGTTGGCCACCAGTTTAAGAGAAAAAATAGGTTGTTTGTTTTTTTTTTTTAATAAAAAAAAAACAGCCCAAACTACTCTCAGCCCCCAGTGTCCCTCATGATTTAGTGAGCTGGGGTACTCTTAACTGAGAAGCGTATATGCCTGGTAGCTTCCGGGGTCAAAGAAATAGTCATTTTGCAGCATGCACAGGATAGAACAGTGATATAAACAGGATTCCGACAGCAAGCATTTTTCTACCTCAAAACCATCCTGCACACACACATCAGTGGGCCCTAAAGCTCTGTTGACAGGTATACAGGTCACAGGCAGGCAGGCAGGAAAAGAGGAAGATCCCCCCATGCAGGTTCCTTTGGTTCTGCCTCAGAAGCACCAGAAGTCTGGGTCCTGAGTCAGCAGAAACCCCAAGGCTCTTGGATGTTTGCAGTTCCAATTGTACTTCTCAGAAGTGAACACCCAAATACCACTAACGACAGAGGAGGGGGAACATACAGCCCACTTGCAAATAAAAGTCCTCTGTGAAGTCTCCCGTTTTATCTTTACAGTTTATATATATGAACATTCTATTTCATAATGTAACTGTGTTTGTTTTATCCGAAAATAACATCATTCCCTGACTCCAAAACATTTGTTAAGTCAAAACTGCTGCTGCAGAAGATGCATGCTTTTCAGTTTACAGCTTTGTGCTCCCTAGGACATCACTGCTGACTTGGGAGTAAAAAGCTTGGCTGTAAGGAAGTGTGATCTGGGAGTGGGGAGAGGCCAGAGTCCAACCACGGTGAGGCTCCACTCAGGCATGTAAGAGGGGAGAGGCAGGGGGTGGGAGATGACCTGGAGGTGGTGAGAGCCGGGGCCGGAGGGGTCCTCCCCTGGAGTGAAAGGAAGGTCCGTCTGCCAGGGGGTGGAGCTCAATTCACACACCACAGAGGGCCAAGTATCCTCCCCACACTGCACCGGAGCCAAGTCAGGCTAAGCTGGGGAAGGGGAGCAAAACCTACAGTGCAAATTCCCACGTGTGACACACACTCCAGACTTTCATGATGTGACGAGACCCACGAAACCTCAGAATCCACTCAAATAATTCAGGTTCCATCAGATCCTTTAGCGACTATTTTGGAAACCTAGGCAATTTAAGTTCAGAAATATTAACTTCGATTTCAACTTTTAATCAGATCTTTTTGGTCCCCCCTCTTTTTTTTTTTAAAGTCATTTCTTTTCTACCTCTTCAATCTTTTTTTTTTTTTCATTTCCACAGGACTGAATTATGAATCTGAAGTCCAGGATAACCTCACGTACTAAAAATATCTTTATATATTTCTAACTTTTAACTCTGTCAGTTTTCAAGCCATCCATCTTATTTCATGAAACCACATTTTCACAGATGTATAACTGGACTTGTAGAGACTAATTACATGGGCTGATTCAGCCCTACTTTCCCCCTCATTTATTCCATGCTTCGATATGAATAAAGTGGGGGGTTATTAGCAAGGAGGGAAACAAATCCTGACTGCCCTTCAGGATGATTTCAGATCCTTCTTAATGAAGTGATACTGTCTGGGTACACACCATAACAGGGGCTGGCTTTCCTGAGGAAGTTCAAAGCAGCTGTTGCGGGAATGACCTGAAGGACCCTGTAACTGCTCCCGGGTGAGCACAGGCGCCCTTGTCCTTTTCCGACCACGACGAGAGAATGAACGGCACGGTCAGTAACAGTGAAGCCGGCCACTCCTCGGAGAGCTCCGTGCCTGCTCTGGGTCTGGGGGACGCAGCTGGCGGGAGCACGTTGCTTGCACGGGCAGCCTTCACAGGGGTCAGAAGCCGTTGCACACACGCTGTCACACACACACAAGGGGAGGGGGGTGTCCACCGGGGAGGGCGGGCCTTCATGTGTCCTCTTCTTCATCGGCGCCTCTACAAAGGAAAGGAGAACCAGGTGAGCTGAGGCGTCACAAGACGGGAGGCCCGCCTCGTCTACTGACAGCAGGCAGAGGCTCTGCCATCAGGCCCCCCTGGATTCCAGCCCTACCACCGCGGGGCACTGTGGCCAGTGGCATGCTTCTGCACCTCTCCATGTTCTGATTTCTTTATTTGACTGCAGAGATAATGATGATAATGATACCTACTTTCTCAGGTTACTGGGGGAATAAATGAGATAATACAGGTAAAACGCCCATGCCTGGTACACAACAGGTGAATAGCTATTTAAAGGAACAAGTGATTTGTCATAGTATTTTTTAATTTTAACTTGACAAAATAAATAGCTGGTAAAAATTGGGAGTCTGACTTCCCCTAAGCCTTAAAGCCAGGGCTCCCTAGGTGGCTCAGTGATAAAGAATCTGCCTGCCAATGTAGGAAACACAGGAGACGCGGGTTCAACCCCTGGGCTGGGAAGATCCCCTGGAGGAGGAATTGGCAACCCACTCCTGTATTCTTGCTTGGACAATCCCATGGACAGAGGAGCCTGGCGGGCTACAGCTGTGGGGTCACAAAGAGTCGGACGCGACTGAGCACACAAACAAAGCTTAAAGCCACCTATTGTTACAAGAGAAAAGCAAAGAGAAGCTATCATTCTGCACACTCAGTGGCACTTCTCACTTGGAATAAAACCAAGGTTTCAATTCATGCCACAGGGATAGTCACGGGGTTCAGGTGTCACCGTCTCAGAGAAGGTCCTTTCTCTCAGTCAGACTCCTTGGTCACTGTCCATCTCCATCTTATTTCTTTCATAGCCCTTATCACATCCTATAAATCACTTGTTTGCTATTTATGCTTCCCTCTACCCCCGCCAGAGCATAAAAAGAGGAGCAGCACTGTCTATTTTATCGACGACTGTTTATCTGGCACTAGTACTGTGCTGTGCACACAGAAGTGTTCAATAAACAGCTGTTTCTAAAAGGGAGTGAGAAATAAAAACAGGAAGGGAGGGAAGGAAGATGCTGAAGCGGACAGTCACTCAAAGCTCCTCGATCAGGGCATCCTGGGTGCTGGTGGTATGTCAGGGCCACAAATGAGCTGTGAGTCTCAGAAGCTCAGGGGCTCAGGCTTAGAGCCTTGCTGGCTTGGTCCTTGGAGAGAACACAGTTGATTCAAGTACTAGGTAAGGCCCTGGAAGGACAGAGGTAGCAAACTTGCCTGGTTTCTCCTTCTCCACAACTTCTAGGGGTCACTACCCTGAAAATCTGTGGAAAATTCTGAGAGATGGGAATACCAGACCACCCGACCTGCCTCTTCAGAAACCTGTATGCAGGTCAGGAAGCAACAGGGAGANAAGGACTGATGTTGAAGCTGAAACTCCAATACTTTGGCCACCTGATGCAAAGAGCTGACTCTTGAGAGTCCCTTGGACAGCAGGAGATCAAACTAGTCAATCCTAAAGGAAGTCAACCCTGAATACTGGGAGAACTGGAAGAAGTGATGCTGAAGTTGAAGCTTTAATACTGTGGCCACTGGATGTGAAGAGCTGACTCACTGGAAAAGACCCTGATGCTGGGAAAGATTGAGGGCATGAGGAGAAGGGGGCGACAGAGGATGAAAGGGTTGGATGGCATCATCGTCTCAATGGACATGACTCTGAGCAAACTCTGGGAAATAGTGAAAGACAGGGAAGCCTGGTGTGCAGCAGGTCATGGGGTCGTGAGAGTCAGACATGACTCAGTGACTGAACAACAGCAACATTCTGAAAATAGTAAGAGTCAGCCTGATCAAGTGTGCCGGGGCACCAAGCTAAGCGCTCCTCGCCCATTCTTTCCATTACCCCTCACATCAATCCCAGGATGTAGGGACTACTATTAATATTATTATGTTCCCCATTTGGCAAATGAGGAAAGTGAAGCTCTGAGAGACATAAAATCCTCAGCCACAGAGTAAGGTCTGTGTCCTTGAGACTTAGGGATTAGTTTTGGCTGGAGAAAGTCTCACAGAGTCAGGCTAGGGTACTTGGAAGAAAGGGAAAATCTCCTTCCTCTGGTCAAGACAGGAGTTATGAAGAGGAAAGGCCTGGGGTGCCTTAGCTCCCAGCTAGAAATTTGGTTTTTTTTTTTCCACCTCACGAAGGATTATCTATGTCTATATAAAATCGGGGCTGTTTTGCATCCACTTGGGAAAGACTGTAAGGGAAAATACCCTTGACAACAGACTTGTAGAACTGCGGCTAAGGGAGAAAGCATTTTAAGACACGGAATGTGAAATTAAGGCAAGTGTACTCTTGTGCTGGAGCCAAAAGATCCAGCCCAGCAACCTTCACTACCCAAACTCTGCCCTGTTCCATTTGCCCTTTTCTATTCCTTCTTTCTGCCCGTTGTCCAGCCTTCGGAGGAAGGGAGCATGCTTGGAGGGGCTGGTCAGTGACCGTCACTGGGGAGCAGTGTTTGGTGGCATCTGTCCCAAAGGGAACAAAGGGTCTTTCACGAGAGTGTCTTGGCAGAATCAAGCACGGTTGGAATTGGCGCCATAGTCTCCCCTCTAGTATTATACCCAAAGCAAGCTCAATGTTCTTTTGTCTATTTTCCTTCAAATATGAGAGGTCTAGCATCAGCATGTGCCCTTCCCTTAAACTGCGGCTCACTTTTTGGCATTCTTCACTTGAGATGCATAGTTTAGAGGGTTCATGAACCTACTGAAATTGTATACAAAATTTTGTCTGTGTGTTCCTTGTCGGTCAGAGGCCATAATTTTCATTATACTCAAAAAGGGGTCAACAACCTCCCAAAACTAAGTATAATGAAATTATAAATAAATTTAAGTTCCTTTCAAGTGGCCAGGTCCCTTACTATAAGACAAGAGGAGGTGATTTGGGGAAAAGATCAGAAGCCCTGACCGATAACATCTTTTCTCATTGTCCTGAAAGAGATCTGTTATGGGGCCTGAATGACCATGCTCACATCACAGTTTAAAAGCTTAAGACCCTGGGATTCTGGCACCAACTCTTTTGTGACCCCATGGACTGTAGCCTTTCAGCCTCCTCTGTCCATGGGATCTCCCAGGCAAGAACACTGGAGTGGGTCGCCATTCTCTTTTCCAGAGGATTTTCCTGATCCAGGGATTGAACCCACGTCTCCTGTATTGGTGGGCAGATTTTTTACCACTGGGCCACCAGGGAAGTCCACATCACTGGTTAATTTGACTGTATACTCTGTATTAGTCTTGGCACTAGGCGCAACAATGAATAAGATGAAATCACAGTAGCTGCCCTCATGGACTTTACAGTCCAGTAGGTGAGGGAGGGAGATGGGGAGGGGAGGGATGAGGGGAAAGGGAGAGAAAAAGAGAGAGAGAGATGGGGGGTAGAAGGAGAGAAATATTTTTGTCCAGAATAGCATCTTCAAATAAAGCATCTTCTTTTTAACAATTAATAACCTGTTTTTTTTAAACAACAATAAAGAAGAAAAAATTATAACTGAATCTATAGCACAGAGCTCTGTTCACCTTGTGTGTGATCCCTCCGGAGGGTCACATAGTATAACTGGTGTGAGAAGTCATTTAAATGCTCCTTCTTTACTCTGTATATGAGCTGATCTGTGCTCACAGGATTTTATCTTAGCCTGCAGGAACCTTTACTTTCTCCAAGGGAATAAATATAGTCTTCCATCTTAGCCACTTATCATCCTCTACCCCTCATACTGGATTTATAATTGGAGTGATACTCAGAAATTTTTAAAGTGTTTGTTTTGTTACTGCTGTTTTGAGAATAAACTAAGGGTATTAGATAGCCCATTCTGTAGTAGATATTCACCACGAGAGGAGCACTATATAATGGCTTTGAAGTCACCAAACTAAACTAGGTTCAAAATCCCACTCACTCTGACACTAACGAGCTGTGGGCCTTGGGGTGAGCTGATCAACCTCTCTGGGTCTCAGTTTCCTCAGGTAATACTGTGTATCTTACGGGGTTACTGTGAGAGTTCTATGTATTTTATGCAGTATAAATACAATGTTGGCTCCTTTCTGCACCCTGCCTTTCTGCTTATCCAGAAGCAGCACCTGCCTAACTTTCCTTCCACACTGCTCTTCTAGCATCTGAGATGCTACATTTCAGGGCATGTGTGCTCCTGTCGCCAAATGTCCTTAAAGTTCTGGAGTGCGACAGTGCCCTGCTTTGCTTGCTTGGAGACAGACCTATGGATACTGAATAGAAAGAAAGGCTGAGCTCCCTGCTTCTGACCCGTATGCTTGACTCAGTGGTGTCTGACTCTTTGCAATCCCGTGGACTGTAGTCCGCCAGGCTCCTCTGTCCATGGGGATTCTCCAGGCAAGAATACTGGAGTGGGTTGCCAGCCCCTCCTCCAGGTTCTACCTGACAGATCTCTAGATCTCAGTCCCTGAAAAACATTGGTGAGGACAGACAATGCGTGAACCCAGTTCACAGGCCTCAGTCACAGACTGACCCAGCTGGAGAGTGCTGGTGTATCTAAAAGCAGAGGTTTTGAAACTAGGCTACACATACCTTTGTGGTATCTAGAGATCTTCCAGGAGGTTTATCTGGTCATGGCTAATTCAAAGGAAATTAATGTCCAGATCTGTACCTTCCATATATACTCTTTCTTAAAACTGACCTCTCCCAGAACATGCTTGTGATCTACAGGTTCTGTCTTCAGTCACTCCCACTTTTTCCAATCACCTTCCCCCCACCACAGAAAAGAAATGCATATCCCTCATCCTCCTGAATCTCACCACAGGACAATTTTAGAAAGCCTTGCTTCTGTGAAAGCAAGGTAAGAAACAGTGAAGGATATAATTCCTTATTTCATCCGGGTAGTAAACCCCTGGCAAAGCTGTGTGCCTTTATCTGTCTATCCGCAGATCTAAGAACTCATATTCAGAAGTCAGATGCTTGTCATGAAATGTGTACTAATATGTTCATTTTAATTGAAAAAGAAAAATGAAACCAGACTTGGATCTGACAGAAAGCAGAA